TGGGCTGCGAACTGCAAGGTCAGCAGTTTGAAACTACCAGCTGTTCCGCAGGAGAAAGATGAGGCTTTCTGCTCCCGTAAAGATTTATAGCCTTGGAAACCCTGTACAGAGTCACTGAGTCAGAAACAACTCCATGGCACATAACCACCACCACCACATCCTTTAAACTAAAGGATCCCAAATACAAATATGGAAAAGTACCCCAATAAAAAAAATACAAGTCCCACAGGTTACATATATGAGACTGTTTACTGGAGTATTAATCATGGTCTCAGGGAATCTGCATCCACCTTGATCACTAGGAGGCAGATTTATCAACTCTTGTGGATGCACATAGCTGTACTGTAGAGTAAGAGACAATGAGCTGGATACTTGGAAAACACAGACGAATTTAACAAAAACAGCAAAATGAAACAGGATAAGGACGATTGCAAAATAAACATTGATGAACCTAAAAATACATTCGCATAGCTGAATGAGCTCCCAAAGCTGTTGCTGATATAATCTTTAAATCTTAAATCAAAACTATCTCCTGAAGTCTTCTTAAAACTATACTTTAGCTTAACTAGTAAAGGATGTCTGCCTTAAGCCCTGTACTCTTTTAAGAATCATCTATCTAGGATCTAAATGACAACCAACAGCAACTTGAAAGATCAGATAGGAAACTTAGGGGACAGTGAGTTTTTGTTAATGGGGGAGGAGCAACCCAGAAAGGAGAGTGGGGATGGTTGTACAAATCGAATGCAATCAATATCACTAATTGATACATGCAGAAATTGTTCAATTGGTGTCTGTTCTGCTATATAAATTCTCAACTACAACAGAAAACAATGAAGTAAATTATTATTATATTTATTTGTTATGTTAAGTGCCGTCAATTCGACTCTGACCCATAGAGATCCCATATAGGGTTTCCGAGACTTATAAATCTTTGTGGGAGCAGAAAGCCTCATCTTTTTCTCACAGAGCAGCTGGTGGGTTTGAACCACCAACCTTGCATTTTGCAGTCCTGTGCTTATCCTGTGGAGCCACCATGCTCCATATTTATATAATGGAGTCCTAGTGTGATGCTGAAGAATCCTGATATGGCGCTGTAGGTTAATGAACCAGACTGCAAAGTCGCTTGAACTGTAAGGTCAGTAGTTCAAGCTCACCAGCTACTCCTCAGAAACTCCATACAGGGGTCGCTATGAGTTGGAACCAACTTGATGGCACTTAACAACAAGAATAGTGTGGTGTTGAAGGATAAGCACTGGACTGAGAACCCCAAGATCAGTGGTTCAGACCCACAAGCCACAACTTGGAAATTCTATATAAGGTCTCTGTAAGTTGGAATCAACTCGATGGCACTTAACAACAACAACAGCAATATATATGTAAGGATATATGTTGTTGTTGTTGTTAAGTGTCATCGAGTCAGTACCAACTCATAGACCGGTACAGAGTTTCTGAGGAGAGGCTGGTGAGTTTGAACCACTGACATTGCTGTTCAAACCAACCTTGCAGTCCCGCACATTATTTTATATATATATTTTGTTGTTGTTGTTGTTGTTGTTGTTGTTGTTAAGTGCCGTTGAGTCGATTCCAACCCATAGCGACCCTTTATAGGGTTTCCGAGGAGCAGATGGTGAGCTTGAACCACTGACCTTGCAGTTCAAATGGCTTTGCAGTCTGGCCCATTAACCCACAGCACCACACCAGGACCCCAGTTTATATACATATATATGCATGTACATTATATATATTAGTATACAAAATAACTGTTTTACAAGCAAATATAAACCTCAGGATATTGCAGTGACAAACTCTGAAGAGTGGAAAAGAATGGGAGTAGAGAATGGCAGTGGGCAAAAGCATCAAAGGAATAAGTAGATACAGACATTCATATAAACATCAGAGCAAAAGATGGGCCTTGCATGGTCCAACGATGAAAATGCAATTTGAAGGGAGGACTCAGATTAACCAACCCAATCCACTTGAGATCCCCAAAGAAAGTATAAGAAAAATAAATAAAGAGAGGTGAGCAGAGAAACAAGTCAAGTGTGGCAGTATGTCTGCAGCATGTAACCCCTGTTTTCAAAAACATCTGTCTTTAGGGTGTTGGGCCTTACAGAGACCTTTGCAATTGAAGCAAACAGACTCACTTAGAGGAAGTTCAAGAAGTTCTAGACAGATGTTTGAAGCACTCATCTGGCCCTGTGGCTCACTCAACAGTGCAGGCATCTCTCCAGGTGATTCACAGCTACAACCCTCTCCCTGTCAGTTAGAAGTCACCTTTTTCCACAGAAATGCCACAGCTCAACAATTTAAAAAAGACTTATGAAAGTAAGTATTACCCAGGATAATGATAACTTTTTCACTTGGCATCTTTGTCTCCTACAATTCAATGTCTAACAAAGAAAAGAAAGTTGCCTCTCAAGTGCTAACCATTATTTTTAACCTTTTTGGAAATAAGTTTTTAATGAAATGTATCACATATTTATTTCTAAGACTTCTTTAAAAGATAGAAATTGGGGGGGGGGTTAAAAGATAGAAATTGGGGGGGGGGGAGAGGGAAGGGTTAATAACCTCTTTGATCCATGACTTGAAAATCTCATCACTTCACTTCATGTGGTGTTTCCACTTCTATTATCATTGTTAACTGCTTCTAAAAATAACACATCTCTGCCCCTTTCTACCTGTGGTTTTCATCTGGGCTTGGAAACCAGACAACTAGTGAATGTTTAATAAGTCATAAGGCTTTGAATGTCAGACCAAGAAGAAAAGTGTATGACTGCAAACCATGGACTTTTTTCCAGATCAGGTTGTCTCTTTTTTAAGACCAGCATCTTCAGCTCTAGCTCATTCTAGTACCTATAGACATTCCCCTCTTTCTGTATTCAATATTAACGACTCATGGATTCGCATGCCGGCTATTCCCAGCATCGTTATTATCTGCTTGGAGTTCTCTACTGGGATGAAGTCGTAATTAAATTTGCCTCTGGAGACATGCCACCTGAAGTTTGAGGCAAGCTGAGAAATGAGCTTTTGTTTTCAGATGTGAAGGCTGTGCTGGTGAATGTTTTAATTAGCTCATCAGACAGGAATAATCAGAGTAACTTATAGTGCCTTCTATATGTCATGCTGATTCATGATTCCCATTAGAAACCGGTCCCTCTCCCTATCATAAACCTGTCCCAAAACCTTCTCAACTAACATGGACAGACTAGGTCATACTGGTTTATTGACAAGAATAAGAAGGCATTTAGTGAATGTTTGATGAATACAATCAATTTATGAATGCACAAATACATCTGAGACTGAGAGGGACTGTTAAAAAGTAATAAACTAGAAAGGAGTCCTGGTGTGGCACTGTGGGTTAATGCACCAAACTGCAAAGCCGTTTGAACTGCAAGGATGGCGGTTCAAGCTCACCAGCTGCTCCTCTGAAACCCTATACAGGGTTGCTATTGGTTGGAATCGACTCTACGGCACTAACAACAGCAAAAACTTTTAGTTAGTGATTTACAACTGTTGTTGTTGTTCCAACTCATAGTGATTCCATGTACAACAGAACAAAACACTGCCCAGTCCATTGCTACCCACACAATTGTGATGTTTGAGCACATTGTCGCTGCCATTGTATCAGTCCATCTCCTTGTGGGTCTCCCTCCTTTTGGCTGACCCTTTACTTTACCAAGCATGATGTCTTTCTCCAGGAACTGAATCTTTCAATATTCTTCACCAGCTACCATGATATTTCATCATTTTGATGAAAGAGTCTATAGAAGAGTCCTGAACAAAAAGATGAAAATGCAAACCAGAAGTTCACATTCTCATGGGCTAGACTTTTCTGGAGTCCCGGAGGGTAGATGAACCCCTGAAATTACTGCTGTGAGATAATCTTTAACTTTAAACCAAAAATATTCCCTTAAGTATTAAAACCAAATAGGGTAGCTTAACTAATGGGGAAAAAAAGGTCTGCCTTGAGCATCATGCTTTTTTAAGAACAACCTCTATGGGATCAAACTGACAACAATAAGGTTGATGGCAACCTTAGAGGGCAGCAGGTTTATAGTAATAAAGGGAATAGCTCAGAAGAGGAGGGTGAGAATAGATGCACAACTCAAAGAAAGTCATCAAAGTCACTAAGTTGTACAAGTATAAACTTGAATTGGTGTATGTTTTGCTGTGAATAATCTCAACAAAAACAACAAAATCAATAAAAGTTTTTAAAACAAAGAAACCACCCACTTGTGATATTTCTGTTACAGCAGTAATAGCTAACATGAACACTGTGGAATGCTTCCTCCTTTACTGACAAGTTTAAAAGATAAGAAGAAAGCAAACTGAAAAGATAATGCTTCATCACAGGGAGAAAAAAATCCTAAAATGGGGAGTGCAATAAGGCAATGAAGTCTGACACTAACAGCTTAGATTCTGCTCATCGGCATTTGAACAAAACATCTCTTCCATCCATGGTTGACAAGAGTTACCAAAACAGTTTTTACACATTAAAATAAATTAAGCAAAGAAAAAAAAAAAAAAGCCCCCTCCGTGAATTCCTAACATTCATATGTATGAGTACATAGCATGTGTTACGTATGCACACAATTACACTTTGAAAGGAGTTTTAGCCACATTAATGGGACTGTGGGGGGATGAAAAGAGGGAGTGAATAACCAGCAAAATTAACTACAGTGACTAATGGATGAAATACAGCCTTCTGATGCCAGGCATATTTAGTATTCTGTTCACAGAACCTCCGCTTATATCATCTGGTTGTACTTTAAAGTGCATTGAAAAATCAAAGGTCAAGTTAAGTGTTTCCTTCTCAGACTTGTATGTTGTTGAGTTCAGGGTTCATATCAACACTTGTAAATTATTGTCTAAAGTACCATGAATCCCTTCTGTTTGAGATGCCAGTGATGTAGACAAGAGTTCTCAAAATTCAGCTCCTTCATGGCCTCAGGGGATTCAGTTTCACAGATGGCTAACTCACTCTGGACATATGATTACACTGATCATATGATTACATATGATCATACAACCCTGAAGACTGGGAGAAATCCTGTACCCTTTAACCTGTAAAGTTCCATTATTCTGTATTACATTTTCATCTTTTCATTCCATATATGGAGAATTTTGAATATCCAGAGAAGAATGGATTAAAAAAATGCAGTGCATATATACAATGGAATATTACTCAGTGGCTTGACAAAGATTACTCCTTGGCTTTATCCATATCTACAACCCTTAAGAAGAGCATCTTACCTCCTCCAGCTTAAACACTGCTCCAATATGAGGCTGGATGCGTCCTTGCTGGCAATACTGAAGTGCCGAGGACAGGCTCTTGGAGAAGACAGAAAAGTTCTTTTCTTTGTACCGGCCCCAGTATACCCCCATGGCAGAGACATTCTTCAGAAGTAGAAGGTTGGCTGGTACAGAAGCAATGGTTCCTCCAGCAAACCCCACCACCACAATCCTGCCCTCCCATGCCAGGCTAAGGAGAAAGAAGAGAAAGAAAAAAATATATTAAGAATAACATTGTTGTTGTTGTTAAGCGCCATCAAGTCGGATCTGACCCATGGTGACCCTGTATAAGGTTTCCAGTGTGCAGCTGGTGAGCTTGAACCACCAACCTTGCAGTTCAAACAGCTTTGCAGTCTGGTGCATTAAACCACAGCGCCACACCAGGCATCCTAACAAAAAACTATAACAGATGATTGGATAAATAAAATGCAGTGCATATATACAATGGGATGTTACACAGCCACAAAGAGACATGAAGTTCTGATACATGCTGCATGTGGATGAACCTTGAGAGCTTTATGCTCAGTGAAGTAAGTCACCCACAAAGGAACAAATACTGCATGATCCCAGTGATATGAAAAAATAAAACTAAGCAAATGTATAGAGATCTGAGTGTGGTTACCAGGGTTGGCTGGAAGGGAGAAGGCAAAGGGGATTCACTGCTTAGGGGACACTGAGCTTCTGTGAAAAGTGACAGAAATTTTGTAAATGGATAATGGCATTTAAACAATAAGATGAACATGATGTCACTGAAATGTATACACCAAAAAATGTTGAAATGGTAAATGTTCTGTGATATATATAGTTACCATAATTTTTTTAAAATGTAAAAGCAAGGTACATTTATCTCATAGCTGTAAACTCCCCTTGAACTATAAACTGGCAGGGGTAAACCATCCTTTAGCACTGGGTTCATGAGCTGTTGTTAAGTGCCATCAAGTAAGTTCTGACTCATAGCGACCCTGTATAGGGTTTCTGAGGAGCAGTTGGTGGGTTTGAACAACCGACCTTGTGGTTCATAGTCCAGTGCTGATCCTACAGCACCACACCAGGAGGTTCATAAATAGAAAAATATGAAAATAAGCCATAAGCAAAGCATTAGGGGGTCAGAGCAATTAGCCAGTTATAGAGAGACCTACCTTATAATCAACACTGCCTACGCACCCCCCTAAAATATCTTTTGGAAGGAAACATCCTATAAATCAAGGTCATTACATTTACCATACTTCAAGAAACTCAGTTTGCAGATTATAAATGTAGGCAGCAGAAATAAGGGATAATCAAACAATACAATGAGGGATCATTTGCTTTATACAAAAACTTACTTCAGAACTCCTTTAAAGCTATGTGCCTCCCTAAAGTTGTTGTTGTTGTTGTTAAGTGCCCTCAAGTCAGTTCCAACTCATAGCAACCCTGAACAGGGTTTCCAAGGTTGTAAATCTTTACGTGAGCAGAAAGCCTCATCTTTCTCCCATGGAGTAGCTGGTAGTTTCGAACTGCTGACCTTGTGGTTCACAGCCCGAATCGTAACCACTACACTACCAGAGCTCCTTTTCACTAAAGTACTTCAGATAATCTAAAAAATTCACAGCTTTTCTGGAACTCAGAATAAAAAGTACCTTATTGTGTATGCTAAGCAGAAGAAAGGTCTGGTGGTCTTCTTCTAAAAGAAAACCCTGTGGAACACAGTTCTACTCTGACATATATGTCATCAAAAGGAGTCAGAGTCAACTCCAAAGAAGCTGGGTTTGGTTTTGGTTTCTTAAGCCATGAATTATGACAATAAACTTAGTAAACATCTTTAATATACAGTATTTTCTTGTTTGCTTATTTTTGTTTTCTCTTTGTCTTTAGAAGGGAAATGAAAAGCTATTGTCAAAATGCAATTATCTAGACATCAAGAAATCAGAAAGTCAAGAGAAGGGTGAGTTTCACCAGCTCTTTAGGCCACTCCTTCCTTTGTTTCTTCTCTGAGCAGTGTCAGTGCAGTGCAGTGGTCATCAAACCTGTAGACTGCCTGCCTCTTAGCAAAGGGGCTATAGAACCAACTGGGTCTCTTCTGGAGGTAGGCTGCTCTCTCTGCTTTTGTTCCTTCAACTTCAAACTGAGACAAACCACAAACAAAATGATGCCTGCCAAGGTAACCTGAGAACTAACCCTAATATTATCAGAGTGCTGCAGAGTCCAGGGTTGAGAATAGAAATGGGAATTAGTGTGATACAAGTCCCACTGAGTCTCTAGTGGCTCTTTTAAAAAAAAACAAAAACAAGGAAATATACTGCTGACTGTTTCAGAAACCAGTAAGATCAGCAGAGTCTGTGCCACAGACTTTGCAGTGAACTGGGGAGAAGGGAATGGCCACCCCAGTTAATTCTAACATGGAACAATAATCTCCAAAATTCTCCAAATCCATATATATAATAAAGCAGTTGGTGGGGGCTACCATAGTTAGCACACATATAATTTCTAAGTATTAGAATGCCTGCAGTCATTTGTTGGATATTTTCCAGTTGGGTGTCTTGTTTTTGCTATATTTAAGCTTTTCCTGATTTCCCCCCTCTGCTTCTGCTCCTTTCCACTCACCCACTCAATTGCTCTCGTGGGTACCAGTGCCGACAGGAGAAGCAGCAGGCATGACAGAAGCAAGGCTGGGAGGAAGACAGAGGTCTGGCAGGTTTGGTTGGGTCCCCACTGTAGACCACCCTGAATAGACCCCTCCACGCACCTGCGGAGAGCCTCCAGGAAGACATCGCCTCCCACAGTGTCGATAACCACATTCACTCCGACACTGCCCACCAGCTTCCCCACTGCCTCCTTCAGGCCACTCTGACTGTAGTTCACGCTGAACTGTGCCCCCCTCTGCACGGCCAGCTTGCACTTTGCTTCACTTCCAGCTGCGGCTATTACCTGCATAAGGAGCACATGGTTTGTGTTGATCCAGAACATGTACCCAGAGGCTCATGTGATCCAACCCAGCCCGCAGTCAAAGGGTGCTACTTGAGGAAGCCAATGTGACCAGACTGCCCTGGTGACAGCCCCCACCCCACACATCAGTCTGCATGCACAGCACGGCACCATCTCATCAGTCCTTCCATGCCCAACTGGCTGTGGTGTCCACATTCCCAGGAATTCTGGGACTCCAGTAAGTCATGCTAGGAGATGGTTCAAGAGACACTCACAAACTCTTCTCCAAATACAAATTAAATTTACTAGGCATCACTATTTATTGAGCACCTACTATAAGTCAAGTAGTAAGGATACAAGCTAGATACCAACTTGAGAGTTAGGAAGCGAGATATGGCAATGTGATGGGGGATGCATAGAGGACTCCAGAAGCATGAACAAGAGATACTCAACCTAGACCTAGGACAAGAAAGACAGCGTTTTTGAATGTAATCTTTATAGAAGCAGATCACCAGGTTTTGCTGCTGCAGAACCACTGGGTGGGTCCAAATAAACTTTTTGGTTAGCAGCCATGTGTTAAATGTCAGTTTGTAGCTCTTTAAAGCATTGCCTAAAGGTACCTTATCACTAAATATCACTTAGTCCCAAGTAGGTACTCAAAGCTTGCACTCAAACACAACAAAAATATCAACAACAAAAACCTATTGTCAGAAGAACAAACAAGATGGCAGATTGGGTGGGCGTGTAGTAAAGAGCTCCTCAAACAACAAAGAGCTCCGCAAACAACAACACAGAATACCCAACCAAGCAGGCTCAGGGGATAGTCCCTGAACTCTGAACCACATATAAAGGAATATTTAGAAGGTTGGAAGGCTTACAGCTGGGGGAATTTGAGGCAGAAGCAAGAACTCTATTGCTTTCTAGTCCAGGATGCTCAGCTGCTCCAGGAGCCGCCATCTTGGGTGAGACCAAGCGGGGTGAAGGATCGAAGCGGTCACAAACGCCTGGCAGAACCACAGAGATAAAGGTGTGGACATTATTTTCTTTTGGTAGCTGTTCATTGGTCCCTTGCTGTCTG